TTTAAACACTTGGATACTAGACATTTATAAAAGCAGGTATAGTACAAGGAGAAGTTCCTCTTATTTAACAGTTATCATGTCAGAGCAGAAGTTGTCAAAATATTGATTCTTTTATTTTAGATCTTTGCAAGAAACATATTATTAGAGCTTTTTTTTTTTTTACACAACAAAAGATTTAAAACAATGTGTCAACTTTAGACAAGAGTATTACAGTACGTCATTCCATCTTAAATCTACAGCCTTCTCATTGCATGAAAATTTTATAGTACACAGTTTAAACACATAAAAAGACTGGTGTGAAGTTTAAGTCTCACATATCAAATACCTTTCAATCAACTCTAAAGAAAAATAAGACATAAGATATAAAAATGGAAATAAAAATAAATAAATAAATACATAACTACACACCAGATGCTCAGAGAGCACAATGATGCTACCTTGTGATGTAACTTTACATCATTAATCATTCCAATTTATGTACCTAGCACATACTTTAAGAAGGTCAACCTGGAACGCAAATAGAGCTCCAAAATTCATCTTGGGAATCCTTAATGGGTTTTAACTCTGGCGCTGGATGTTGAAGCTTCTGTAGCGTGGGGCGGCCTCCTGACACACTTCCACCACCTGGTCGTCGTCCTGCGCTGTGCTGATGTACCAGTTGGGGCAGCGGACAGACATGAGAGAGCTGATGCTGAGCCCAGTGTCGCGTTTATAGAAGAGAAATCGCACCATGTCGCTTTCAGCGCTTATCCTTGACAGACTGTTTTTATCCGTCACCTCCTGAGGAGAGCAAACATCCATGTCAGAGAGTTTCAGTCAACAAAATTAGGCCTGATATCAAATTTTAATTCATCTACATGTGTGCAGTGTCTTATAGATTATAACAAATGGTGTGCTTTTCATGTGAGATTCCTGAAAGAAGTTTACCTCCAGGTAGAGGGTTGGCTTGTCGTCATCCTCGTGACAAGACAGATAGAGGTTTGTGCCTTTGATGCCCAGAGCGACAGGCCTGGTCTCAGCGATGGGTGTAGGGTGCGCGTAGGTCGACATGTTCAGGTGCACTGTGGAGAGAGTGATGGATACAGGGTCATTTTAATAAATCATGGCAGCGTACGTAAGCAG